CTCTACAATTTAGTTGTAATTCCAGATTGGTCCTGGGAGGAGGTTAGTGTAGCTTCTACTTACTCCTCCATCATCTTGGATTCAGATGCTTTTAATCTACCTGTTTTTAATCTGTACCTCTAATTTTGCACAGGAGCTCAAGTGATTCCCTTTTCTAGATTTATTCCACAAAGCACAGAAGTAAGAATAGGCTTGTGGAGCTAGACTGATTCAGGTTCCAGACTAGATTCAGCTGCTTCCTAACTAATCCTAGAATGACCTGCTAACTGTATACTCTGAACAAGTCTCTTCACCAATTTGTGCTTCAGTTTTCTTATCTGAAAAATGGGGTGATAATAGTATCTCCTTCACAGAATTGTTGTGAGGAGTGGGTATACTCCTTTATGTAACATTCTTAGGACAGAGCTGGGCAGATGGTAAGTATAACATAAGCACTAGTTGTCATCTTTCATCTGCTGCCTGTATATTGTTAGTAAATTGGATATCCCCTCTCCACCCCACCCACCCAGGATATGGCCTAAATTATTTCATGTTACATCAGTTCCAAATGACAAAACAAAACATACATACCCTTGTCACCAGGGGCTTCAAATAATGTCTAACATGCTGTTTCTAAAATGCTGACATTTCTAAAAATTCGGGTCATTGTGGGCTTAGCAGTCTAAAAACAGCCCAGGAAGTGAAACTTTCGAGAGAAATTCCAAATAAGCAAGCAGTTGCTGACTTGCAGGAAGGACAAGAAGGGATGGAAGTATACATGGCCATTTCCTAGCCTTTTTGACCCCCTCGATTCTGTCAGCCCCACAGCTTAGAAAGCAGAAATACATCTCTCTTTGAGCTTACAAGAGCTGCTACCCCAGAGTTAACTCAGTGCCAGAAAGTGCATTAGTCTAGTAAAGTATAAAATATGGAGGCCCTGGAGAATCACCAGGGAATGGGAGGAATCTTACTGTGGATTCAGAGTGAGTCCTGGTTTGGGGCTTATGCTAATATAAGCTGGTCAGGAAAACAAATTGGGACACCTTTACCACTCTGATTCATAAAGGTCAGAGTTGGTACCCATGACAGTGACATAGACTGTCAGCCATCTTGAATCCAAAATCTCCTATCTCTGGGCATCACCATCAGCCCTATAATCCCCACCCTGCAGATAGGCTCAGTGGTCAGTGAGCTACCATTAATGGAGCTCTTGATAAGTCCCTTACATTAATGATCTCATGGAACTTTCTAGGAGCCCTATTGTCATGAAGATTAGAGCACAATAATGATGACCTTGGACGTTGTAGCCAGACTGCACAGTCTAGATTCCCAGTTCTCCTATGTACTACTAGCTGTGTGTCCATACACAAGTTACTTGACCTCTCTATACCCTAGTTTTCTCCTCTGTAAAATGGGGATACTAATAGTTCCTTCTTATTCTGACTGTAGTGAGGATTAAATGAGTAAGCAACTGTAGCACTGAGAAGAATGCATGACATAATGACAGTTGTTTTTATTAATCCTCATCTTATAGTTGTGGACCCTGAGGCCAGAAAGAGGGATCATCCACGTGCCATACACAGTTTGTGAAGCTGGGCCTCAAACTAGCTCTATGTGATCCACTGAGTGGAACTGCCCTCTGCTCAGAGGAGGCTAAAATATCCCCAAGAAACCCCAAGCCCACACCCTAGCACACCCCCACCCCAGTTCTCTCCTTCTTAAATACCATCTTCTCCCTCTGAACCTGGGTGTATTTTTTGAAGTGTTGAGTTAAAATCTGAACAACTGTTGCAGGTGTGTCCAACCTTTTGGTGTCTCTGGGCCACGCTAGAAAAAGAAAAGTTGTCTCGGGCCACACATTAAATATATTGTGGCATGTAATCACAAAACAAATCTCATAATGTTTCAAGTAAATTTTCAATTTTGTGTTAAGCTGCATTCATAGCCATCGTGGGACACATGTGGCCTTCAGGCCACAGGCTGGGAATCCCTGGAACTTAAGGGATTCAAATGGAGTTTTCCTGGCACTGAGGAGAGAAAGAAAATTCTGCCTCTCTCCCCAGATTGGGAAATGAAAGCAGTGGGTATGAAACTCTCAAGCTCCCAGAGTCAGAGGGCAGAGACTGTGGGCTGCAGAAGAACTACATCCCCTGATTCAGTATAACTTCCAAACTCAACCAAGCTCAGCCAGTCTGGATCCCTTCTCTTTTGTTAACTCCTAACTGCCATGCTAACACTCATGCCTTGGTTACTTTGTAACTTCGAGGAATCTGATGCCGAAGTCAGATGTGGAATGACTGAAGATGTCTGAAGGAGGACTTCCAGCCAAAATGGAGGTATAGGTAGACACACTGTGCCTCCCCACACAACTAAAAGAAGAAGAACAACAAATTTAAAAACAAAAAACAAGCAGAATTGATGAAAATCAAACCATATGCAAGTCCTACAACCAAGGAGTTAAAGAAGAAACATTTATCCAGACCAGTAGGAGGGGTAGAGATGGGAAGCTGGTCAGAGAGGACTCAAGGCAAGGTGGCAGATTGGACTGGGTGGCCCCACATTTGTATGTACATAAACCAGAAGGAACAACTGGGAAGTGAGACAAACCAAGCAACCCAGAGTGCCAGTGCAGGAAAATAAAGACTCAAACCTTTGAAAACACCTGTGGGGACTAAGGCACAGGGATAAACTCCCAGCTTCACAGGAGAGTTCATTGGAAAGACCTACAGGGTCCTAGAATGTACACAAACCCACCCACCTGGGAATCAGCACCAGAAGTACCCAATTTGATTGTGGGTAACAGGGGAAGTGACTGAACACTGGCAAAGATCAGAGCAAGTGGCATTGCCCCTTCTTTGACCCCTCCCCCACATACAGTGTCACGATGCAGTGACAAAGGTTACCCTGCCCTGGTGAACACCTAACACTCTGCCCCTTACTACGTAACAGGTGGGCTGAGAAAAAAAAAATGGCCCAGATGAAAGAACAGATCAAAACTCCAGAAAAAAATACAACTAAGTGACAAAGAGATAGCTAACCTATTAGATGCACAGTTCAAAACACTGGTAATCAGGATGCTCACAGAATTGGTTGAATATGGTCACAAATTAGATGAAAAAATGAAGGCTATGCTAAGTGAAATAAAGGAAAATGTGCAGGGAACCAATGGTGACAGGAAGGAAACCAGGACTCAAATCAATGGTGTGGACCAGAAAGAAGAAAGAAACTTTCAACCAGAACAGAATGAAGCAACAAGAATTCAAAAATATGAGGAGAGGCTTAGGAACCTCCAGGACATCTTTAAACATTCCAACATCCAAATTATAGGAGTACCAGAAGGGGAAAGAGGAAGAGCAACAAACAAAAAAGTTATCTGAACAAATAATAAAGGAGAACTTCCCCACGTTGGCAAGGGAAATAGACTTCCAGGAAACCCAGAAAGCTCAGAGAGTCCCAAAGAAGTTAGACCCAAGGAGGAACATACCAAGGCACATCATAATTGCATTACCCAAGATTAAAGATAAGGAGAGAATCTTAAAAGCAGCAAGAAAACGGACAGTTACCTACAAAAGAATGCCCATAAGACTGTCAGTTGATTTCTTGAAAGAAATATTGCAGGCAAGAAGAGGCTGGAAAAAAGTATTCCAAGTCATGAAAGACAAGGACCTACATCCAAGATTACTCTATCCAGCAAAGCTATCATTTAGAATGGGAAGGCAGATAAAGTGCTTCCCAGATAAGGTCAAGTTAAAGGAGTTCATCATTAAAGCCCTTATTATATGACATGTTAAAGGGACTTATCTAAGAAAAACAAGATAACAAATATGTACAGTAAAATGACAACAAACTCACAGTTATTAACAACAGAACCTAAAACAAAAACAGAAACAAACTAAGCAAACAACTAGAACAGGAAAAGAACCACAGAAATGGAGATCACATGCAGGGTTATCAGCAGGGAAGTGAGTGGGGAGAGGGGGAAAAGGCACAGAGAATAAGTAGCATAGATGGTAGGTGGAAGATAGACAGGGGGAGGTTAAGAATAGTATGGGAAATGTAGAAGCAAAGAACTTATATATGTATGACCCACGGACATGAACTAAAGGTGAGGAATACAGGTGCAGGGGGGGCGGTGCACAGCATGGAGTAAACTAAAGGGGGGAAATGGGACAACTGCAATAACATAATCAATAAAGTACATTTTTTAAAAAAGAACTACATCCCACCCTCACCTGTGCAACCCCCACCGCCCCACATTCTGCTGAGTCTGGCACAGGATACTAAATGAAACTTGTCATGTTTTAAAACTTGAGTTCCTCTAGAGAGCCTAGGGAGAAACGGATGAGGGGTGTGGCTTGCTATACCTTGGGGTTAGGGGTGAGGAGTATCAAGTTCCCCATGAAACCTCTAGGTAGGTCCTTATCTGCCAATCTTATTCTTTCTCTGTCTGCCTGACTTTGGCTCTGTGCCTTTTTCTGTTTTAGCCTTTCTGATAGGGATAAGGGGAGATGGAGTACCACTGTATGTGTTTGTCTACCAGTCGGTCTGTGGTTGACTTCGCCCAACATCATCTCATCTCCGACTTTCTATCTCTGCTTCCTTATCTTGACCTACCTGTTTCCGTCTGCCTGCCTGCCCTCAGTTCTCGCCAAGATTCTAACCCTTCAGTCACCTCTCTGCAAACCCAAGAAGCCGCCCCACTGAGCAGAGGCGGAGGCTGGGGTGCTCAGCGGAAGGAGCTCTGACCCTGGGGTGGGCAGTGGAATAAGGTGTCCGATTCCGAGGCGCCCCCCCTGGCGCCCCCTGCAGGCGTGGGGCGGCCCTGGGAGCCCGGAGCAGGAGGCGGAGGCATTGCAGGCCGGCGGGGATCGGGTCTCCGCCTCGTTCCCTTCCTCCTTCCCTGGGAGGCTGGACCCCTCCCGCGCGGCTCCTCCCCCGGCTCCCCGCCTCTCCAGTCAGCTCCCTCACGTCCCAGCCGCAGTGCCCGCCACCGCCTAAGAGCACCAAGCTTTCAGGCTGCCGCGGCCACAGCAACACTAAACTTTCCCTGGAGCCGGCAACGGTGAGTCGGAGCGCGGCACCGACAGGGCGCGGGCAGGGGTTGTAGCGGGGCCGCCGAGGCAGGGCCAGACTGTGTACTGGCCAAGCTTGGGTCTTGGCATGCGGACGGAGCCTGGTAGAGACCCCCGGAGCTTGCTGGCTAGGGGTGGGCGCGCCTGGAGGACCTCGGGACATGGGAGGTTTGGGTAGGGTCCCATAGCTCCGATCGCTCCATGGCACTCTCCTGGTTACTCAGTGTTGGCCCCAGTGCCCCATGCGCAGGCACCTGTGGCTTCCCCTGAATTGGCCAGGGTGCGCGCCCCGCGCGGCTGCCTGCTGGCTCTGATGCGGACAAGGCGAGTCTCCAGCTCTCCCTGAGCTGCCCTGGACTCTACCCGGAGTTTGATGCTAACCGTAGTCCCAGCGCATGGGCGCTGGGCATCCATGATCTCTTTTGGTTCCTCCTGCCATTTGATGGGACCTTACGTCCCTTTTGCTTGTGACCGGGTATTATCATACCCATTTTACAGAGGAGGAAACTGAGGTTGAGAGAGGGAAAGTTGTGCCCAGGAGCACTAGTGAGTAAAGGAGAGAGCAAGGGTTTTGAGCCCGAGTCGCCTGACCCAGACTACTTCACATGCAGGCGAGCCCCAGGTTCAGCGTCACCAGAAGTCAGTTGTGAGAATGTCAAAAACACCGCCCATGGTCTCCTGCAGCCCGGCTGCATGCCCAGGCGCAGTGGGCATACCGCACGGAGGGCCCTTTGATAGAATAGGAGGCCATCGCTACTGCCTGGGAGGTAGAAGCGCATGGGGCTGCTCGTCCTTCAGCCAAGGGTGGGAGGGCACTGAATTCTGGAGCCAGACCTGAGGAGACAGCGCAGAGAGTTGCTCTCTACATTTTTCTGGAAGGAGCCAAGGAAGTCAGGAGTAGGAGCTGGAGTGCAGTTCTTCACAGAGGCCACTTTCCCTCTCTAGGTGATTAGCCTCTTTGTCCCACCATCCCGCCTCAAGAAGAAGACCCCACCCGAATCCCTGAGACTCTGAGGTGTCCCCAGGTAGCTGATAGTGCAGAGATGCTCCAGGCAGGGCTGCTGTCTACCAGCAGGGGGCTCCCACCTCAGACCTGGAGCCGGACAAAATGAGACAGCGCAGGGAGTCCTGTGGGAGCAATGTCCCCTGGCGGGGATGTGCTTGGGGAACTCAGTCCGTGGTTGGGGGTAAGCCCCTGTGACTGGAGCACAGATGAAGTGCATCTCCAGAGCATGAAGGAGGGAGGAGGTGAGGGTCTCATAGGGAGAGGCTTGAATGCCCCAATCTTGGCTTCCATCTTGGAGGCAACCAGGAACCAGCAGAGACTAGGAGTGGGAGAGTGGGTGGAATGATCAGAGATTCATTAAATCCTATTTAGATCTCACAGCAGCCTTGCAAGGTAGGCACTATTATTATTATCCTTATTAGTCTATGGTAGTCTAGGAGGCTCAGAAAAGTTAAACACTTGCATGAGGTTACCCAGCTGGACCATGGCAGAATCAGGATTTGAACACAGGTCTCACTTTACTCCTTTTAGATTATTAGTGACACTCAGGCTGTAGATGGGACCTTAGTCCCTCCTGCTTGTGGCTGTCGGAAGCAAAGGTGGAGACTAGAGAGATGCCAGGCAACAGGATCCCTGATGCCCCTACGTGGGCTCTCCTTTCTCTCTGATAGGTGTCCTGCAGGAGGCCTACTGCTGAGTGGGTGATCACTCACAGGAATCCGTAACAACTCCACGTAAATACCCTATCTTCAGGGCTTGCTAGACCTTCATATACATCTCAAGGCAGCCTGTCACAGCTGGCTGTCTCAGGACATATTTTCTTGGTGGAGGAAGAGTCCGTAGGGAAGCCTGTGTTATTTTCAAGTGTGAAAGAGAATCCTTCCAAGGTGGGAGTGGCCCAGCACTGCCTGTCCAAGATTTCAGAGCTGGGTGGAGACTGGAGCTGCCTGCCAAGGTCCCAGTCGCCTGGAGGAGTTTGGGCAGTCCTGATCCAGGAATGGTTCCTCTTGGCCCTCAGCTTAATGTCTGAGGTAGGAAGAACTTCCTCTCCTTGAACTCTCTCAGAATTGTGTGTTTGTGCTTTCCTTTTTACAATCAAGGAGTGCCTGATGGAAAATGGTGTGGCTTTCTGTAACAAAGAGGAGGCATTGCAAAGAGATCAAATTGTGGATTCTGGAGCAGGCTCAAATCCCAGTGCTGTCACTGAGGAGCTCTGCTGCACTGGGCAGGTTGCTGTACTTCTCTATTCTTCAGTTCTCCATGAGTAGAATAGAAGCGTTCACAGCACTTTCCTCACTGGTTTGGTGAGAGAATTGCGTACACATGAATAAAGCACCTAAATGATGCCCTGTAGTACAAAGAAGTGCTATTTAAATGTTAGTTCTCATTATTGTTACTATGAAGGTCAAACAGGCTAGCTTTAATCCTGGCTCTGCCACCTCCAAGCTGCCCCACCTCTGCTAGCATTGCTTTCTCACCTGTAAAGTGAGAATAGATCTAGATACAAATGTGTGTCCCAGAAGGCTTAGTGCAGTCTCAAGCTTTAAACAGCTTAAACCCGAAGTCTCAGTGCAGACTTATTTAAACTTCTGGCACTCTACTAGGTACTCAGCAAATGCTGGACATTGCCACAGTTATTATTACGGCCAACACCCCTCCTTTATGCTGTAGCTTGAACTTCATTCTCTGGCTTGGTTCTGGGCAATATGGATTTGGGATAGTTTTCTGGCTTGTGTGGGCAGGAAAAAAGCTCTTACTATCTTTCAGCCCAAGTTCACTCTTAATGGTTATTTCTCAGGCCCCCAAGGGACAAATGTGAGCCTCTTGGTGGTTGTGGGATGTCAGAGGGTAGGTTTGAAGTTCATTTCACAAGGTCTATCTACAGATGCCATGTATCTTCACCAAGGCAAAGTTTTTGGCAGAACACACCACCCCAGCTGCCTTTCAGACTATCCTACTGACTTGGGATATTTTGTTTACCTTCCAGGTAAAGTGGATATATCCAGAGCTCTGAATTTTCTTTTTCCTTAAAGACAGAATGGTGGATTAAAAAAAAATCAGCTTAGGGTTAGAACCCCAGCCTTGGCCCTTTAAGCTGAATGACCTTGGGCATCAGTTTCCTTATCTGTAAAATGGCTATTAATCATATTTTCCAATGTCTGTTTCTCAGGATGGAAAAACAGAGAAAAGAAAGGAAAATGCAGGTAGTTTAAATGGCAAAGAATCACATGCAATTGTAAGTAATTCTCATTAGCATTCAAGCTGGGTATTAGCAGTAATTGCTCATGATCCAAGACATTTTATCTGAAAGATGTACCTGCAGAGGATCATTCGAGCCCTGGTCACCTGCTGCCTTCCCTTTCACAGTGATGCTGAACATTTCTGAATTGTGGAATATAATTATAATGAAGCTCCTGTATCTTCTTTATAAGTGACTCACTTCTGCCATTAATGGTAGCAGAGGACTCAGGAGCACACTCATTGGGAACAATGCCACTGATGCTGAGGGAAGAGAGGCCAGGATGCCTCTCCTCGTTTCTGCATTCATTTTCCTTGCTGTAACTCTCCAGTGATAATGCATGAGAATCACATGGGCCAGGATCGAAGCTGACAGCTCTTCATTTGTGCAGCAGCTGGGATAGCAAGGCCCATTGAAACTTGATGCTGCCAGTAGAATGGATGTTAGAAATCCTTACATCACATCAGAGAGGATGGAGCAGAGGAGCTTGAGGAAGGCACCTCTGGGGAGTCCTTAAAAGCGTAAACTCTGGTGTCCAACACACCTGAATTTGATTCTTGGCTCTTCCAGCTTGTTAGTTGTGGTATGATTTTTGACTACCTTCTTAACTAGACCCACTGCCCTAATAGAGCAGGGACGATGTCCATCTTATTCACCAGAGTATTCACAGCTCTTAGCTCCTAGAAGGAGCTCATGAATGCTGAGTAAATGAGTTAATATATTGATAACAAGTTCTTTGATTGAGCCTGAGCTTTGTCATGTGTAAAATGGGGCTAATATAGCACCTTCCTTGTAGGTTGTTATGAGGACTGAATGAGGAAATGTTATGCACAGAATAAGCACTCAATGCTGCCCTTAGTGACAAACTGATGAGCGGAAACAAGGACACAGATGGACTAATCTGGGAGAGAAAACTTTTCCACCACCCTCAGACCAACAAGGGGCAATAATGCTAGTTATAGGAATCCCCTGCATTTTTACAGCACTCTGCAAAGGGCTTTGATACCCAGTGACTCCTGACAACTAGACAGAATGGTTATTCTTGTATTACAGGCAAAGAAACTGAGGTTCAGGGGGTTGGTGGAACACCGGGAGTCACACATTTTAGAGGTAACAGGAGGTGGAATGTAAGCCCAGGTTGCTCTGCTCTGCTCGCTGTTATTGCTGAGTTCTCTGTTGCTCCACAGAGGGTGTGTGGTGTAGTGCTCAGTCTTGAGTGAGCATGGTATCTCTCTTATTATTTAGGACATCTTTAACTTCTCCTGGTACAGTTTCCTAGTTTTCCCTTGGTGGTCTTGCACACCTTCTTTTAGCTACATTGCTAGTTTTTTTGATGTTTTGCATCCTATTATAAATAAGATATATATTTTTAAACTTACTGCTCTATTGATTACTTTTTGGAAAAATATGTCTTCATTTTGCACATTGATTTTGTATCCAGAAATCTTGCTAATCTCTCTTACTAATTAAAAAAATGTATTTATAGATTCTTTTGGAAACACTATGTATATTATTATAGGAGGTGAAAATAGGAGTTTTGTGTTTTTCTTTCCAATCTTTTTGTTTCTTTCTCTTCTCCTTTATTTGTTTTCTCTTGCCTACTGTCCTGGCTATAAGACCTTAGTACAAGAATGAACAACCCAGGCATGTGCCCTGACTGGGAATTGAACCAGCGACATTTTGGTCTGGGAAGACACCCCACCCACTGAGCCACACCAGTCAGGGTTGCTGACCTTTTTGTTTAGAATTTTAACATCATGAGTTCATGAGTGAGATCCACTGGCAATTTTCCTTTCTGGTGCTTACTTATCAGTTTTTGGTACCCAGGTTATGCTGGCCTCAGGAAATAAAGTGGGCAGTATTTCTATGTCTTTGGTTCTCTGGAAAAAATTGTGCAATCTTGGTGTTGTTCTTGCTGAGTACATAGTGAAACTCACCAGTGTGGTCCCCAGTGAGTGGAAGCTAAAGTAGGGGGAGTGGGAAGGGCAGCCCGTTTAGCTCACTCTAAGGAGGAACTTTCCAACAGTGGGAAGCTAGGCTGCCTCAGGCAGGAGTGGACAGGGACTGTGACCCTGGCTGTCCTGAGTGCTGCAGGGGGAGCCGATCCTTGGGCACTGGGTAGGGTTCTTCCAAACAAGGATCACAAATGAAGGAAGCTCATCCCAGGGTGAAAGTCTGATGCCTGTGAGTTCCATTTGAGTCTTCTTCTGCTTCTAAAATTGCTGCAGCTGCAGACAGTATTCTTGCTGTGAATTATTATTCCCTGGTGCCTACATGGAGGGACCTGACTCCGTGGACCATTCTTCTTCCAGTTGGAAGGAGAGACTTTCCCTCTCCATTTTATTAGTTTCTCTGTATCCCCAGATTATAACCTGGGGCTACACTTTTCCTGCTGATTCCCCTTATCCACCCAGGGTTGCTAGATTTGGGGAAGATTCTCAGCCAAATCTTCCCTCAATCCACTTTTACTTAAAAGTACCAGACACTGCTGATTTGTATTATCTCTCTTAATCCCCGTAACAATGCTATGAGGTGGTTACTCTTACCCCCATTATTTAGATTAGCAAAACAAGGTTTCTAATTGTCATTGTTTTAATGGTTACATATTTCACGCTAAGTTATAACTCTCTAACCTGTTTGGGTTTGGGTATAAGAGAAAGGTCTAAGTTAATTTTTTTGTTCATATAGTTCACCAGTTGTCCCCATTCTGTTTACTGACTCATTCTTCCTTTTCTCATCTATGCCATCTGTATCAGACACTAACTTACTCCGTATCATCTGAGGCAGAGCTGTGGCATTTCACAGCTCCAGGGGGCACCATTCATAGGCCTCAAGGTATGTGACCTGGAAACCCTGTCATTAGTAGCAGGTTTCTTTTCAGGCCGTCTCTTCTGGTGTTGAACTTTCTGCTGGTTCTAGTGGATGACCATTAGACAGGGTAATGGCAGGAAACAGAGGGCAAAGGCCAATGAGGCACAGCACACATGGAGGGGGAGGAGTGGGGATCTGTGCCATGCTGTTTTCATGATTGCCTGCATAGAGTATGTTTTCATAGCTCGCAAAGGCATCTGCTTTCCTCTTTTTCTCTCAGACTTTCTAGACAATTTTCATTTGGTTTATTCTCTCAGGAGAGCTTCATTTATTTACTAGCTGGCTTTTCTCTGTCCCTGGAAAGAATCATCATTTAATAAATCTACCTGCTGTTCCTCTGCCTGAGCCCATGTGAAGCATAGTCCCATCTCCAGCCTGGGCGTGGTCTGGAGTGGCTCTTGATGTGACTGTTTGTTGATCCTGGACCCATAATGAAAGCCTCACTTTTCTTTCCTCTGTCTACCACCTCTAACTGTCTGTATGGCAGGGCCAACCTGATGGGCCCATCATGGGCCTCTGATAGATCACAGTTTCAGTCTCTTGGAAAATGTGGATCTACCTTTTCAAAGCACCTTCCAAGGGCTCCCCAGAACAAATTCAAGGGGAACCCTTAATTCTGCATTTCAATCAGACCACCACAACCTCCTGAAAACAAGTTTGTGCACAGCAGAAAGAGAGAGACAAAATGTAATTGTAGGTGTAAATTCAATTACATAAAGGATACCCACATATTTAGTGTACAGTTATGGGCAAAGGTTCCAGGGCCAGATGACATAGATCCCAATCTAGTTCCCACACTTTCCAGAGTATGTCACAGGGAAGTCATCCAACCTATAGTTGCTTTGATTGCTTTGACTGTAAAATGGGATTAGTGACTGCAACAGAAAGGCTTGTTATGAGTGTTAAATGAGTCATGAAGTTCCAAAGAATTAATATTTGAGAAGCTCTTACCAGCAGAGCCTGGAAACTTGAAACTGTTTATTAAGTAAACCACCTATTTTTAACCAGTGTGCCATGGCACACCAGTGCCACAAGAATCTTTAAAACATACAATACCTGACTATTTAGTCAGTGGCACTGACCTCTTTTCCCTTACATTGTCTAATAAAAAAATGACAACAGCCAACATAACAATAGCTGTCTGGTGTGAATAAATCAAAATTATACCTATTTTTTGTCAGATTGGCAAAAATATTTTTTGGTGGGTCACAAAATTTTAGTAATTAGTTTATGTGTGCCATGAGATGAAAAAGGTTGAAAATTTCTGACATAAACCAATTAATAAGCAAAGTCATTTTGTCATGTTCCAAAACAAACTCTACTGGCTTTTTAGAATTTGAAATTGCATCAATTCTGCATATCAGTTTTTGACCTGCCTTGTGTAGTTAGTGTTTTCTGTGTGAAGATATTTTCTCTCAAATTAGACTGGAAGCCCCTTCAGGGCAGCTACATACCACTTTCCTGGAGCTCTCCAAGGTAAGGTTCTTTTTTAAAAGTGCTAGAACCAAGAAGCAAGTGGGTTTGGTAGCATTAGTTGGGCTTTCAGAGCCTGGACCTGGACTCATATTTGATGTCATCAGTGGTTACCATTCTGACCTCAGAGGAAGCTTTTTAACCTCCCTGACCTCAGTTTCCTCATCTGTAAAAGGGGAAGAATAATAATGACGATGATACTCATCTCATGGCATTACTGAGAGCCTCTTCCCACAGATCTTGCAATGATTAACACCTTCTCATGGCTAAGAACACAGAAGACCCTTCCTCCTCTGGCCACCCCATTTTTACCGACATACCAATACAGTCACTCCCCATTGATTTTCCTTAGACAGCCCCCACCCCAGACTGCCAGCTCCAGGAGTATAGGGACATCATCTGTCTGGTTTGCTGCTCCAGTGCCTTCATCAGTTAGCACCTGGCACCTAGTGAGTTTGCAACAAAAATTTATTGAATGAAGTAAGTAAGATTACAGTGAGATCCTTAAAGAATGTGACCAGATCGTGTAAATGGTGGTGAAGACCACCAAAATGGTGAATGTCCCAGGCACATTGTAGCATTCACACACCGGGAACTGCTATTAGGCACCTTGAAAGTAGTAAGAAACACTGAGCAAAGATGAGCTCTTCTCA